AGCTTTTTCATACCAGTGGTTACCAGATGTGTCTGTATTTAGAACATCTGTTCCAGGGTGGAGTTTGGGGCTAGTCTAGGTATTTGGATGTGTCTTCTTCCTTGGGTATCTCTGGTAAACTTCAAAGTATCTGTGCTGAGATGAAGGGGAAGCATGGTTAGCTGTAATACTCCAGGAATTCAAGGGAATTTTCCAGAAATGCAGGGGAAGGAGCCTTGAAGAGAGAGGCAGGGCTGGTATTTTGTGCTGTTGCTCAGCCATTGCCAAGACCCAGTCAGGGTTTTGCTTGGCTGTCACCAGGCTGGGCTGCTGCTTCCTGCTTTGGATTCCATCTTTCCTAACAGTCCGTGGAATTTCCAGGAGTATTACAATATGGAAATTTCTTAATAGGATTTTAAAAATTCTTTCTGTAGATAAGTTCTATTTAGATATGTTTTAGATCGTTTCTTTTGATGCTGGATTGGTGTAGAATTACTGTGAGCAAGGGGAGGGAAACCTGCTGTACCTTTACTCTCTCCCACTACATCAAGCTCCACCAAAGCCAGGAGTGACCCATCACACTGAAATTAATTTTTGGTCATTCTGGGGATAGGGAAAAACATATTTTGATCAACAAACCACTTGTGAAAAAGACTCACCTAGTACTGGTAACAACCTCTGCTTGACAGTGATCTGGGACATACTGGGAAGGAGGGAAAGCTACAGGTGTCAGTGTCCATCCAGTATCTCATGGTTTATTTGTCACCACCGTCTTCATCTCTCAGAAGTTAAATCATTGTTGCTGAAATAGGAAAATATGCGTTTTAGAAAGCTTCTGGTGAAGAAAAGAACTCAAAGTGGTTATGAATGGTTTTACAAACAAAGCATTGTGGTAATGAGGTTGGAACAAGATGATTTTTAAGGTCCCTTCCAACCATACCACTATGTGATTCGGTGAAAATACAGTCATTTAATTAATTTATCTAGAATTCAAGCATGTGGCAGTGCAATTCCACATACTCAGAGTGTGATCCATAATATTCCACCCCAAACAAAAGCTTCTACTCTATTTCTTGCCCAATGATTTTTCTTTTACAAAGCCAGGTAAAATAAAATAAAACCAGTAACTGTACCCTCAATAACAAGGGAACAGGTATTTCTTTTCCTCATCCCATTTAAGCACCAGGCAGTGTCCTCCAGCATCTTGCCAAAAGCTTCCACTACTTTTATAAGCTTATTTTCTTTTGCTGTCAGGAGCTGGTTCCTCTGTGCAGGATGCTGACAGTTCATTGTGCTTGCTCTTTGGATCCCAGATCCAAAGCAGAATCAGGATTTGGGAGGGAAGGGTCTGTGTGTCCATTCCTGTGCTGACTTTTCCTTTCCTGCTCCTGCCAGGAGATAACTGCCCCTGGGTGTTTTATTTCATGTTCCAGCCCTTGCCATGTTTTAATGGCCAGCGGTGGGGTGTATTGTTACAATACTCCTCGTGCCCATGGAGTCTTCAAAGGGCTTTATTTAACTGCACTGAGATGCCTTTACCTACCACTGAAATGCAGCTACTTAAGCTGCAAAGCCTGGCAGCTGCTCCAACAGCAGGAGCACGACCAGGCCACTGCTTTTATGTCATAAAGTTAGGGAAGAAAAAAAATTTCCATATCCATTTAAAAAAACTGCAGGGAAAATGTAAATTGTCAGAATATAATTACCTAAACTGGAGTTTGGCCAGCATTCCAGATTAACATTTCCTCTCGTGAAGCCGTGGGATACCTGATGGCCAAAAGCAGTCGGAGTCTCAGCAGGATTAAAAACTGAGCTTTGCTGTGTAGTTGTTCCATAGTGGCTGAGAGATGTAGATAATCTATTTAGCACCTACAGCACCCTGGGGCTAAAAAGTGGCTGAATCCTATGAAATCCGATAGGAGTGTCTGAGGTTAAGAGTGTGGTCTGAAAACATTCCATGGAACTTGTAAAATCCACAGATGGTCCGACCTTGGTAGCGTCTCCTGTGCAAGGGAGGAGAAAGAGATTAAAAAAGATGTACCAAAAGGATTGCAGCAGGGAAAAGATGGAAGCTCAGAGTCCTCCCCACCATCGTTGTTCCATGTTTTTTCTGAGGTTTATTTCAGGTCATGGAAGTGTGCCATGGAAATGTGCATTAGCTGGCTCTGAAACTCCTTAATACCTGCTTGCAGTGACTCAGTGTAATTTAGAGCAGATTGGAGACACCAGGTTGCAAGACATGCTCAGGAGGAAGTGGAATGAGGAAGTGGGAATGTGGTGCAGGTAAGGAAAACAAGGGAAGTGGGGACCATTTATGTGGAGAGGACACAAAGGTGTGATGGCATTCACTGTGTTCAGCTGCAGCTGCCAAGCATAAAGTAATAAATAAAGGGAGGTTCCCAGCCTGAAATGATACAGAGGTGCCTAAAAAAGTCGTTGGGTGAGCAGAATCCCACTTTGGTTTGGGTTGGAAGGGACCTTAAAGCTCCTCCATGGGCAGGGACACCTTCCACTGTCCCAGATTGCTCCAAGCCCCATCCAGCCTGGCCTTGGAAACTTCCAGAGATCCACGGGCAGCCACAGCTTCTCTGGGAATTCTATTCCAGAGTCTCACGACCCTCACAGGGAAGAATTTCTTCCTAAAGGTTGATCAGAAGGCCAAGATCTAAACTGTTGGCTGCTTTTTAGGTGGCTTTGCTTTATGTTTCCCTACAGCAGGATTAGTGTTTTTAGTCCTCCACCCTGTCAGCTTCAATTCAAGGTCACCACGGAGTTTCCAAGTCTCTAATAGGACTGGCAGTGTGAATTGTGTCTGTTCCTTTGGGAAAACAGGTTTGGAAGCTGATAGGAGTCAAAGGCTTTTTCTTGCCAGGAAAGCGTCGAGCAACTTTATTGGCAACTTATTTTCTTGTTTAAATAATTATTAATGATAGTTTCTAGACCCTGCCATTTAGGGTTCATTTCTGATGTGGAAATTTTACATGTATATGAGAAATAAAAGCCCAGATGGTAGAAAAAGTGGGAAATTAGGGTATTTGAATACAGTAATTTTTCTTTTGGGATAAGTAGAAGGCAGTGGAGCAGTGGATTTTTCACTTGGTAAAAGGGAAGCTAAAAACTCCCCTTTAAAACCAATTCCCGTTGGAGGAAGAAGGGGAAACACACAGAGAAAGAGATTAAATCCAAACGTGTCTTTGTCAATATAATCTATAATAGCCTTGACAGCACTTCCTGAAAGGGAGACTTGCCAGACTGGCTGCTGATCCTGACAGCTTCTTTTCTTTTGGGAGCTGGGAGAAGAATTGTTCTCCTGAGCTGTCCCTGAAGTGCACATTCTCCACTGGTGTTTCTTCCTCAGTGAGGACCTGAAGGGAATGATTGTCTCCCTGTTTTCTCCTGCAGAGCTCCAAGTAGATCAGGGTGGAATACAAAACCCCGAGCCCTAGCACAGTGGGAACAGATGTGTGTGGTAGGACAACGTGGGTGTGTTCAGCGATTCGAATGTTAATTTAGTCTTTATACTGTGCTATAGTCATAGTCTTTTAAAAATTTTTGTTCTGATAAAATGTAAAAAGTATTGTTTCTCTGAGCCTTTGAACCTGCAGTACCTATTCGTGCCCTTCTGTACAGCGCGTTCCCCGCGGTGAGATTGGATTTTGTATTCCTTATCAAAGGGCAGACCTGTGCCCCTGCCTCACCCCTCGCGGGTTTTTCATCTCAGAATAAAAGTTTAGTTTCTCCTCGCATTCTTTACACATGTGTAAATGACTGTTAAAAAGTGCAGAGTGATGGAAAAGTGGTTATTTCGCCGTTTTGAAGTGCTCATGTTTTATTAAATCTGAGATTCCTGGGAGCTTTTCGGCCAGAAACACACCACCCTCTTTGCTCCTGGAGATAAACCTCCATTTCTTCCTGTGAAAAACTCTCTAATTCCCCCAAAGCTGTTATATTGTGTGTTTTGGTGTGGAATTTGATTGCCATAGATACAAATACCTTTCACGGAGCTCTTAATATATAAAATTAGAAGGCATAAACTGAGGACTGGACCTGTGGGACATGGTTTTGTTGTGAGAACATGCTGGCATTGTTACTTGCCTTTCCCCTCCACTTTTATTTCTCCATTGCTTTTCCCCCCCTCTTTTGCTTCAGTTACCATCTGTTGCATGCTATGTTTGGTACTAGTCGCTGATTTCTACGTGGCTCCTCTGACTTCACAACATTTAAGCACTGATGCTGCTCACACCAACCCTCCAGCTTGGATCTGGATGTTATTTTGTAACAAACTCCAAACCATAAAGCTATTTTAATATCTGCTGATATTAAAATACACAATACAGTTGTTTTTCTAACCCCTTTTGCCAGAAGGCACCTGGACGTCTCCCAGGGGGTCAGTGGCAACCATTGGTCCACATCACTACAGGGCTGAGGCATGAAGGGGCTCCATGGGGGCATCCTCATGAGGTTCTTGGAGGATACACAGACTGAGCTCCAGGGAGACACTGACAGGGTTTTAGGGAGACACACAGGGCTACTTGCCGACAGGGCCGGGCTGCGGCTGCCCCCGTCGAGGCAGCATCGGACACTGACAACATGGCGGCTCCGCCATGAGGGGAGCGGAGGGTGTGAGGGACGGGGGGCGCGCGCCTGCCTTTTAGGCGGGAAAACGCGCCCGGGCGCGGCGCGCGTGCGCAGTGGCGAGAGCCGAGCCGGGGGAAGCTTCGGCTGTTCCCGGCAGGTTCCGGAGGCGAGAGTCTCGCTGCTCCCCGCCCTCAACCCTTCGGGTATCTCCGCCCCCGCTTCGCCTATCTCCGCCCCCGCTTCGGCTATCGCCGCCTCTCTTCGTTAAGTTCCGCCGCCACTTCGGCAACTTCCGCCGGTTCGGTCGGAAATGGCCGAAGACGTGCGAGACCCAGCGGTTTAAGGGGAGAAGACCGGCCGGCTTCTCGGAATAAACCAACTGTGTCCGGCCCGTGGGGGGGGAGCAGGGGAGGGCGGACGGAGCGGGAAGACGAGGCAGCGGTTATGGCTCCCCCCCCAGCCACTCGCGGCTCCGCCGGGAGGGCGAAGTGAGGGCGCCGAGAGGTAGGAGCGGACCGTACCACGCACGGGGAGAGAGGGAGGAAGGTGGGAGAGCGGTAACACCCCCCCGGAACCACCCCCCCGCGGCAACCCGTGGGGCCGGGTAAGGCGGGAATGGTACAGTCCGGGGGAAGCCCCCTGGAGCGGCGGCGTGGGGGGGGGTGGGCTCGGCTGGGGCGTCCCTGAGGGCAGGAGGGGGACGCGCAGTCCCTGAGGGCCGGGGGAGCTCTGAGCTGGCGTCCCTTAAGGCTGAGGGAGCCGTGAGCGGGGGTCCTTCAGGGCTGGGGGAATCTGATGGGGGTCCCTCAAGGCTTGAGGGGGGGGCTGCGAGAGGGATCCCTCAGGGCTGGGGAGAGCTGTGAGCGGGGATCCCTCAGGGCGGGGGGGCGGTGAGCGAGGATCCCTCAGGGCTGGGGGCACGCTGGGGAAAGGTTCCTGAGTGCTGGGGGGTCTGTGAGGGGGGTCCCTCAGAAATGGGGGTTTGTGAGGGGGTCACAGCTCAGGGCTGGGGGCTCGGTGCGGGAGCTCCCTCAGGGCTGGGGCTTCCTTCAGGGCTGGTGAGGCTGTGAAGGGACTCCCTCGTCACCTCACAGCGTGAGAAACATTGTGGGCATGTCGCACTGCAATGGGGGACCTCCACAAGGCTGGGAGAGCCCCTCAGGGCTGGTGGGCTGTGAGTGAGTCCCTCACAGCATGAGGGGCACTGTAGGGGTATGACAGAGTGAGGGACACTGTGGAGGGGACCCTCATGGTGGTGCCCAGGTGCTGCTGACAGGCTCCAGCCGTCCTGCCTCTCCTCTCTCCTGCATCCAGCAAGGATCCTGAGACCTCCTTGTCCTGCCTGTGGATCCCCAGCTTTTCAGGGACCATCACGTCCACGTCCACCCATTTCTCTCACTCTGAGGCAGTGCCTGAGTTGTGGTCCCTGTGGTTCTTGCTGAGGTTCTGCCTTCTGAGGTGGTGAGGACAGCAAGGACGAGGCTGCCCTCACTCTGGGCTTCTTAGCGTGGCTGGTATTGCACTCCTGTGAGTTATTTGCTAATTATTGCTGTGAGTTATTTGCTGAGATTCGTGTTATTCTCTTTTCCCAGCTGTTTTCCCCACATGAGGTCTCTTCCTGCTCAAGAAACATCGGGGTCTTTACCAAAAATTTTACCTGTGTGGCGATAATAATAACTTAATGCCGACAGGCTAATGCCCCGTTATCGTCCAAACCCAAACAATCTGGAGCATGAAGGGGCTGGAAATTGTTCAGGGGGTACTAAGGATTCAGAGAGATGCTGAGAAGCACTTTAGATAAGCTGTTCTGTTGCTGTGTGCACGTTAAAATCCAAACATTGACCAGTTTCTGACCTCTTGTTGCTTTTGCGTGAGTCTGATAGATCGAGTGTGTTGATACTGTGATATGATAACTTGCCTTTAAAGTGCCTGGGTTTCTTGTGCTCATGTGTGTAAAGAAGATTAAGTAACTTTGTTTCCTTAGAGGAGTGTCACATGCAGGTGATTATCTTAGATATTTCTGTTCTCATGGAGAAATCTATGATATCCGAGATAGTAACATCTTGGAACGTGGGTTGGCGGGGTTTATCAAGTACTGAGTAATCTTCAACTCCTTTCTATGCAGAAATAGCATCAGAAATGAACCACAGTCTGATTATGTGATGATGGGGAGAGAGATTCATCTCCCCCTGACAAATCCCTTAACTTCACGTACCATCTGAGAGCCCAGTTGTTATCATGCAGTGTTATCTCTACCCACTCAGGCCTTTGGGATGCCTCTGCTTTTCCATTTCTCGTTCCAGAAATGGGAGTTTGCATGGGTTCAGCTCGGTGTTCAGGGATTCTGGAGCTGGGGTAATTGCCTGCTTTCATTGAGTAAATTTTTCCACCAGCTCAGCTGTGGTACAGACAGTTCTTGAACTTCTTGATGCTGTGTTGCAGAAAGGAAGTCCAGAGCAGTTTTCTGGAATTCTCTGATTTTTCAAGTGGGGACTGTTGGCTCTCATGTTTGTTTACACGTGATGATGAGTTTTGGCAGTTGCCAAGTCAGAGCAAAAGCAGCAAATGCTGGGAACAAGTAAAATCTGATTGTTGAATTGCCTTCACTTAGGGTCCCAATCGGAGGGTTGTTTGTGTGCCGTTCAGATGGGCTGGGAAAGATCATCATCACCATTATCATCATCATCATCTTCCCTTGAATATTTGTGGATCTCTGGGACTATTTAGCTGATGAGTTGAATGTTAGTGATGCATTCCCAAGCTTTGTTTGCTTATGGGGATCCAGAGCCCTTCCTGAGCTTGCTTCCCATGACTATTAATTCTTTAAATGTCATGACACCTTTGGCTTAAGCTTTTAGTTTGTCTCTCTCCTTCTGGCCATGTATATTTTGTGTGTGTTAGTTGTTTTGTTTTGTTTGTGTGTTGTTTTTTCCTTGCAGTCTCTGTTGTCTGATTTTTTTTTTCTCCTCACTCTTTGACTCCTATAACCTCTCCCAGTTGCCTTGCCTGTTTTCCCAGGGCATTCCTCGTGCTGCCCACAGTAATGTTTTCAGCAGGCTGGGAATTGCAGCTAACCACAGATGTTACCTGTTTGATGCCAAGATCACGGCAGCCCTTTGTGAATTGGTTCCTGGTCCAGAGACAATTTTTCTGCTCTGGAGACCCCACAGAAGCAGTGAACTGGAAGGGACCATCACCAGAGATTTTCCCTGCAATCTGTGCTAAATACGTTCATTTTTTGAGAAGGAGCAAACTGTGAACATATTGAAGCAGCTCCTAACTCTGGGATTTTAACTCAGGGTGGAATATTTGGTGTTACTCCTCATGAGTGAAACCCAGAGCGGGATTCCTATGTTTTCACCACCCAAAAAGCAAAGTATTGGTGGTTTTTGTTTGTTTTCATGTGAAAAAGACAAGTGTAACTCACAGGCTTGTTTGGATATACCACTCTATACCGAAAAGACAAAAAAAATTCTCTGCTGCTGTGTGGCTTGGCAGTGGGGAAAGCATTTCCATGGGATTTGGGGGGATGCAGCTGGGGCCTCCATTTGTCTCCCACCACCCGTGCTGACACAGGCTGTGCTTGCTGGGCTAAAACCAGCACGAGTAATGAGCTGCAGTTGTGGGGCTGCAAAAAATCCTCAAAAGCAGAATTTTCTTCTCGGAGAACACTTGAAAGTGCTGTTTACTGGGGCTTGTCGTGGTTGAGTTTGGCTCTGGCTGCTCAGCACATGCAAATCGTGCTGGTGGATGCTGCCTGAGAAGAGGTGCAAAGCCAGTTTGAGGTTTTGGGGTTTGTTTAGGAAGGATAAAGACAGAAGCATGTGCAGCTCCGTGGCTTGCAGCTCATCGATCCCCGGGCTGCCTGGGCGTAGGAAGCCTCGAGCGCTGGCCCACCAGGTAAATTGATGTTATTACAGCACTTGCAGGGCCAGTTTTGAAGTGCAAATTGAAATCCCGTTGCTGTGAAGTCATTGCTGTTTGTTAATTGATGCCTGTTACCGGCAAGAGCAGTTTAGAGGTCTGACTAATCCATCTCGGATGAAAGAGGGCAGGTTTAGGTTAGATTTTAGGAAAAGAATTCTTTGCTGGGAGGGTGGGGAGGCCCTGGCACAGGTTGCCCAGAGAAGCTGTGGTTGCTCCTGGATCCCTGGAAGTGTCCAAGGCCAGGTTGGATGGGGCTTGGAGCAACCTGGGATAGTGGAAAACTGTCCCTGCCCATGGCAGGGGGTGGGATGGGATGAGCTTTAAGGTCCCTCCCAGCCCAAACCATTCTGGGATTTGATGATCTGTCCCTGCTAATTGGTGGTAAATGGAAAATGGTTTCTCAGGGCTATGTTGACATAACCAATAACACTACAAAGTGATCTGTTCCTCAAGGGTAAAATCGAGTGAAATACAGAAAATTGAGACTTATTAATCAATCAAAACAATCCAGTAGGTTTTTTTTGAGTGGGACAGAACCCTAAACCTCCAAACCAGCAGTTAATCTGTAGCCACTAATAAGGACTATTTTAAAGCACATATTCTTAATGAGTGTCAGAATTTCTGCTCTTGCACTCAGCTTCTTAAATGATTGGAATCTCGTTGCCTGGAGTCGGGGTTTGTGTTTTCTCTGCTATCCTCTGCCCTCCCCTTTCCCTGTGAATTTTGGTGCATTAAGGAAATGTAGCACTTTTCTAATGCAAATGCCTGCCTGAGAGTGGTATCAGAACATGGGATTAACCCACGGATCCTAAGAAATACTTCCAAGTTTCTTCTAATAGAAAATGTCAAGAACATTTCCCAATGCAGAAGTAACATTTTTATTCCCCTACTTTGCACAGTGCCCAGCTGCTTGGTCTTTTACCTGTCTTGTATCATAAAATGCTTTCTTTTATGGTTCAAAATACTTCCAGGTATCTTCTCATCTGACTTTAGTCTTAGGGACAGTGACAGTGCAGGTAGCCTGAGGTTTGTTTTCTTTCCTGTTGTGTTTTGGTAGTAGCATTTCCTGAAATGTGGATTCCAAAATTTGCCTCTGGATGAGCTGTTTTCCTGTTCAGTGTCACAAAGTCATCTCAGATCTGTGCCCGAATATTTGGCATCGATGGATTCATCTGGAAGTGAGTTCTATTTGTTTAAAGGCCACAATGCCAGAGAGCAGGAAATGCATTTCTCTGCCCATGCCTTGCCTTCCTCAGGGAACACTTCTTGACAGCTTGGGTACTTTGTAAATCCAGACAAAGAGATGACGAATTCAAGTTTGGACACTTAATGTGCAAATTGGCTTCTCTGCTCATTAAAAACAATACAATTAAAAACCATCCAACCTCCTCCATTATGTTATCCCATCAATACATCTCCATTTCCAACGTGAAGAGAAGCTTTCCTTTTCCCCATCCCATATTCCCCACCTTCTGGGCCAGGTTTTGATGGAACTGAGCATGTCACAGAATGTGGGAAAAGCTTCTTTATCTTTCCTACCCGTGATCCAGTGCCTGTGCATCGTGCACAAGGCAGGA